CCATATCTTGGCTATTGTTAGTAGTGCTACAATTAACATAGGTGTGTAAGTTTCCTTTTGAACTAGTATTTTTTTATTCTTTCGGTAGATATCTAGGAGTGGAATTGCTGGGTCTTTTGAGGAACCTTCACACTAGTTTCCATAGGGGCAGTCTACATTTCCACCAACAGTGTAAGTTGTTCCTTTCTCTCTACTGCCTTACCAGCACTTCTTGTTTCTTTTTTTTTTTTAAATTAATTTTTTAAAGGCTATTTATTTATACATGCACTGGGTACAGTCAGAAGCGCAGGAGGGTGAGAGAATTCACCAGAGCCAGAGCGGGGAACAGAACAGGCAGAAGGACTGACGTATACTGCTGAGGGGAGCAGCGGGCGGCAGGAGAGGTCTGCGTGCCATGTGGGAACCTCGCCGGCCGACGGGGGATCGAACCGGTGCTGCAGAGGCTGCAGGCAGCTTCCAGCCCAGCGCTCAACCGCTGCGCCACCAGGGGAGGCCTAGCACTTGTTTTTTCTGATCTTTTTGACAGGGGCCATTCTCACAGGTGAGAGATGGTATGTCATTGTGGTTTTGATTTGCATTTACCTGATAATAAGTGATGATGAACATGTTTTTCATGTGCCTTTTGACCATCTGTGTGTCTTTGGAGAAGTGCCTTTTTAGCTGTTCTGCTCATTTCTTGGTTGGGTTATCATTATTATTATTTTTTGACTTGCATGAGTTCTTTGTAGGTCTTGAATATTTGTTTCCTTGTCAGATGCATGATGTGTGAATATTTTCTCTCACTCTGTGGGGTGTTTCTTCATTTTGGTGATGGTCTTTTTCATTTGCTAAAGCCCCACATCTGATTCATCTGCGCCAGAAAGATGTGAGTTTGCAGGTGGTAGAAGTCTTAGACTGTAGGCTTTGAGATTAGTTTGTTCTGGGGTTGATTGCTGACTTTGCCACTTCCTAACTGAAGGTGATCAATGTGGATTAAAATTTTCAAAAGCTTGGTGGTGGGAGCCTGAGAAATTTAAACTTTCAGAGTTTCAGGAGGAGGATTAATGTAAGAGAGCTTGAATTTGTTTATAAACTCAGGGTCAGGAGAGTTTGAAGAGTGTTGAGAGGAGTATTATTTAAGTTAATGTTTCCTTATGTGGAAATTAGGTGTCACAGATCTCTGTAGGATTGATTTTAGCATTAAATGAAATAATAATATATGTCTAGCATGCATGTGTACAAATATATAGGGGAGTGTGTGCAAAGAAATACACAAACACATATAATAAATGTATGTATGTGTTAATATGCATATATAAAATGTATAGTATACCTACATTTATGTATCTGTAACATCAATGCTGTAAAGGCAAGACAGGACATAGTGCGGATTTTCTGATCCAGCAGACTGGGTAAAGGAGGAGAGAGTCCTGTAGACCTTGGTGTGTTTTTAGGCTTTTATTGGAGTTCACCAGGCATATGGCAGTCAGGGGTGCTGGGGGGCTGGGAGGCCGGCAGTCCTCCCAGCCCCCAGCAACTCCTCACTCTATCTGGGCCCTCTGGCGTTCTCTCTGCTTCTCTGCTCTTCCGTTCGTTCTGCTGCTTCTTGGCTTCTGCTGGCATCCCTGTGACGCCGCCCTTAAAAGCCCAGTCTTAGCCCAGGTGAATCCCATCCACCCATGCCCACACCCTACTCCAGGTGCCCGCCATCAGGCATGCATTCAGGACCGCAAGGATCCATCATCTATCCTGATGGCGGGAGGTCAGAAAAGCCTAGCATTTTTCATTACCCTACAAATGCATAACAGGTTAGGAACTCAATACCTCTTGTCTATATTCAGTTAATCATATCTGGAAGCAAAACGAAGTATTTCTAGGATTATAAAATAGGTGAATGGAGTTCAGTTAAAATGAGACCCCTAGCAGTCTTTTCCAATTAGGGTTCCTCATTTAAACCACAGTAAGTTATTTCAGTGATTCTTTTCTCAATTCTTGCAAACATGTTACAAATATAGGGCAATTTTATATGCATAGTGTTACAGGGCAGGGAGAGGGGCACCCCAGACCCAGCAAACCTGCCTGCTCTAAAGAGGTTCTGCCATCTGCCACATCAACACAAAACATATGAGACTTTAATGAAAAGGAACTTTACTAGAATTAGTAAACACAGGAAAGGCAGAGAATATAGTTTCTAAATCAAGCACCCAAAGTCACCCATCCCCTTGTGGGTAAAAGTCCATGAAAGCAGGATTTGCCCAGAGCAAGGCCCCAAAGCCTGCCACAAGTCTAAAGCACCTTCCAGTGGGGACCCACAGAAAAGGGTCAGAAACAACCAGACAAGTTTGGGAGGAAAAGAGCAAAATCGGAACCAATATAAAAACCACCATTGTTTCCTCCCACGGGTCTCACCCACATCTGTGTCTCCCAGTCCATGACTGTAGGGGCAGGAATGACACAGTGCAGTTTTCCTGATCCAGCAGACCGGGTAAAGGAGTCAGAGTCCTTAGTGGCTTTTTGCAGGTCTTTTTATTTAGATTTAGCCGGTACACGGCAGGCTGGGGTGCTGGGGGGCCAGGAGGCCTCCCAGCCCCCAGCAAGTCTTCACTCTATCTGGGTTCTCCGGCCTTCTCTCAGCTTCTGCTTCTCGCTTCTCTCTTGGCTTCTGCTGGCGTCCCCGTGATGCCGCCCTTAAAAAGCACAGTCTTAGCGCAGGTGTACCCACTTCAGGTGCCCTCCATCAGGCATGCATTCAGGATCACAGGGTTCCCTCATCTATCCTGATGGTGGGAGCGCAGAAAAGCCTGATACCTTTTACCTTACCCTACAACTACCAAAAGGCAAGCGCAGTTTCTTCATGTATCTCTCAGCTCCATGTGCCTCTTCCAGGTCTCTTTCTGGCTCTCCATCCTGCTTCCTTCCTTCCTCAGTCCCTTCTGCAGTTTCTTCTACCTGCTCATCTCCACCCTCCTTTAAGTGGGGCGGGAAACCTGAAACTTCCCCCCTTTCCTGGGGACCACCCTGTTACAATAGAAGAGGAGTTAATTACATACAAGGGCTGGCCACTTTAGGGCATTAGGGCTTAAAAACTTTATAAAACAAGTTGGGAAAATTTGGGGCATAATGCACTATGGTGAAGGACTATGGGTGCCTTGGTGGTGTGATGTGGTAACATATACATGATGAGTGAGATCCTATACCTCTTAATCATTTACAACATTGCCTCAATAAAAATAATCAAATTCATCTAAACAGAACATACATGACATAGAAATGTTCTTTAATAGAAATGTTAAATTTTCCTCCCACATATTCTACTGATGCCCATACTTTCTGAAGATCCACGCCTCTAGATGATATAACTTCAAGTGCAGCTGGCAATCTGTGCTTATTTATTTTTGGAATCAAGTCTCTCTGTTTATGGAGATTAACTATCTATTCTGTATTAAAAAGACACTCTGCAAGCTTCATGGTATTTAAGGCTAGAATTTGATTTTAGACAGATGTATGTTCTAATCCTAAAAGTACCACTTATGCATTGGGGTAACTGAGTTAATATTTCTCAGTTCCCTCATGCATAAAATTAAAATATTCACTGTTATTGTTAATGTTAGGTGAAGTAATATATGTCAAGTTTTTAGAACAAAGTGCAGGACAAAAATATTTAATAAATTTCAAATGTTAATTTTATTAAGAAAGCACATGACCCATTTTTTTTTAAAGATTTTTATTTATTAATTTGTTTGTTTATTTATTTATATAAGCACTGGGTATAGTCAGAAGCGCGGGAGGGTGAGAGAATTTGAATTCACCAGAGCCAGAGCGGGGAGCAGAGCAGGCAGGAGGACCAAAGTACACTGCTGAGGGAAGCAGCGGGCAGCAAGAGAGGTCTGCGCGCCATGTGGGACCCTCCCTAGGTGGCCGGGGAGCAGCCGGGGATCGAACCGGCGCTGCAGAGTCTGCAGGCAGCTTCACAACCCAGCGCTCAACTGCTGCGCCACCGGGGAGGCCCGACATGACCCATTTTTTAAGATGGACAAGCACAACTTCATCAAAATTATTATTCAATGAATATTGTCACTGTTTCCAAAAGAACCAAAGAAATCCTGTTTTAAGTGTTTGTATCAATTGTGATGAACTAGGTTACATTGTAGTAAAAACACCAACCTCTAGATCACAAGGCTGTAGACCCAAGCAGGTGTCAGACTGCTGTAGAGAGTGGCACAGGGCACATACAGGAGGTGAGGAGATGGAGATTGAGGGCCATTGTAGAATCTGGTCCTTTTCAAATTCTACAGTTATTCAAAAATCAAGAAAAATGAGCCACTCCACAAAGCAGTGAGCCCTGCCTAAAGAGAAGACTATATCAGGGCAATTTCTGCACTGGCATGGGCAGCCCTTCCGCCCACCTGTGACTATGCAAGTGGGCCTCCCTGGTAGCACAGGGTTGTTAAAATCTCATGGCTGTGAAGCTCTAGGCAGCCACTGCAGTATGAGTTTGATCCCCTACCAGGGAGATAATCCATATGGTGCAGCAGACCTCTCCTGTTTAACCCGCTGCTCCTCTCAGCAGTGTATTTCAGTAGATCAGTGGCACCTCTGGGGCTTAGGCTGCAGGCAGAGGCCAGCAGAGATGGCAGGCAGCAGTGGTTCCCCTACCAGGCTACCCCAGAGCAAGCAGCCCCTATTCAAGGCTTAAGAGAGGAGTATGAGGCCCCACTAGGCCAGCTCCAACATTGTGGTTCCCTCCAGCTGCAGGCAATAGAGGCCCTTGGATTTGGTGCCTGGATTGTAGAATGGAGCACTCACGTGTGAACTATGAACTGATTTGTAAATGGTCCAAACAGCCATAGGATTGAAAACAGTCTAATCAGAATTGTAGGGGGTGGGGCTAGGGGAAATCCTGAAGGAGGATATAAATAAAGCAGGGCAGAAGGTGGTCTGGTACTTGTAGACTCTTAGTCTCTCTACATGCTCTTAGACTTTTTCTTAGATTCATACTAAGACTCAGGCTCTGTTCCTAGCCTCCAAAGAAAGAAGCATCTACCAGCCAAGCTCTGAAGAAAAGAAGCCGAAAAGCTTTGCAGAGAAGCCAAAGAGCTTTGCAGACCCCAGGGCACAACTGCCCTCGGGCCCTGCCTTTAACATTGCCTGAAAAAAGCGGTAAAAGTCCCAGGCATGGTGTTTCAAAAAGCTATTTGTTGTTGACATGGGCCAACAACTCCCAAAGAGCTGTAATGCTGGTGTTTTGATACCAACTCTGGTGGCCAGTGATGCCCAGCACTGCTGTTGGGTGACTGGTGCTCCAGGTCACCTCTGAGAGCTGTTAATCATCCAGCACCCCTTCCCTGTGCTGCTGCCTCCATTGCTGTCTGGCCTAGTGTCCAGTGCTGTCTGTCTGACCTTCAGACTGTTGCCATGGGCTGCTGTGGGATAGCTACCAGCCTCACCTGTGAATACCTCCAGCTGCGGCGAGTTGGATCTTAGCCCACTGCTTGCTGGCAAGCTTCAAGACCTTGTTGCTGGGAAGGCGCCATCTTGGATGAACGGCCTTTTGTTTGGAACTTCGGAAACTGCACACTATGGGGTGAGTTACCTGGCCACCTGTGGCCTTAGAAATTTGTTGTTTCCCCAGCTTGTTACGTGAACCTCACTGTTGTTCCCTGAGCCTGAGTGATCTTGCAATTGTGCTCATGGGTGAGAACCCATAGATAGTGACCTCTCCTCTACCTGGTACTGTTCTTAGATATTATAGCCCCCCTATATCACTGTTTCACATTTTCTGTGACTCAAACTGATGGAGACTTTGCTGTTGGGAAAGATGTGGGTCACAGTGCTAAAAGGAGTTGTAGTCTTGAAGTAGTTTTTGGAGATGTCTTGGGTTCTGAGAGTGGGGTCCTTGGGTTAGCTCCGGGAAAAGTTTCACCAAAGCTCTCCTTTCAGCAGCATGTGGTGAATTTCCCAGGCGAGTGTCTCCAGGAGCTAGAGATGGTAGTTATCCAAAAGGGCAGGTTTATTATGAAAAAGGAGCGAAGGAAAAAGGACACTTGCATAGACACAAATGGGCAGAAAGAGCTGCCCTGAAAGGGACAGGTTTGCTAAAAGAGAGGCCTGCATGGTCACAGGAGGGCAAGGAGGAGAAGGGAGGAGAGTCAGGGACGTCAGTGAAGTGGGAAGAGGAGGGTGAGGTCAGTGAAGTGAAGCATTGACATGGGCATAGGTCACAGGTGGCAGGAAGGCTGTTGCCCTGCGGAAGGAGGGAGTTGGCGGCAAGGAGGCCCTGCATCGGCACATGCAGGCAGAGAAGCCGCGGCTCCTGCTTTATGTGAGGAAAAGGTTGGTGAAAAGAAGCACTTGCATAGTCACAGGTGGGCGGAAGGGCTGCCCATGCCAGTGCAGAAATTGCCCTGATATAGTCTTCTCTTTAGGCAGGGCTCACTGCTTTGTGGAGTGGCTCATTTTTCTTGATTTTTGAATAACTGTAGAATTTGAAAAGGACCAGATTCTACAATGGCCCTCAATCTCCATCTCCTCACCTCCTGTATGTGCCCTGTGCCACTCTCTACAGCAGTCTGACACCTGCTTGGGTCTACAGCCTTGTGATCTAGAGGTTGGCGTCTGACAATTTTTCATTTTTATAAGCTAGTTAATAACTATATTAATCACTTCAACCCTCACCTCCAGCTCCTGACATTGCATGAGCCAGGTTTCTGGTCTTGTGCCTCCTTTCCAAGTTTTCTATTGTTTTCCTCTATCAGTCTGGTTAAGCACTGTCAAATTCTTTCACTTGGAAAGATTGTGAGTAAAAATAACTATCTATGAGCCAAAGAAACTCAGATGGTCGTGCAGAGGACCTCTGAGAAGTGTAGTCCTTCCACGTGCCGGGCGTAGAGTAGAATCAGAGAGCAGTGAAGAGTGAAGATCTACCCCAGAGGTAAGGCCAGTGGGCTAGGAGGTGAATGGGACCTCAGGTTTTCTACTGAAACAAGCAAATGATAAATCAAGTATTTCATCTATATAGAGTAGTTTTATAGACTAGAATGATTGATAACATTTAATTTAAGCTTTGATTAATTTAAGCATTCATAAGTTTCCTCTGATTTAAGCACTGATTAACACTTAACACACATTAGTGATGCTTCAGTATAGTGGAAGTGATAGTTAACTGAAATAATAAAATTTGTAATTTCTCAATTCTGTTTTAATTAATTTTTCTTTAGATTCAATTGAAGCACTTTGTACATTTATTTTATACAGTAGATTCTCATTATTTACAGATTCTATATTGGTAAATTTGCCAATTTGCTAAAACTAATTTTTTAAAAAGATTTATTTATAATACAAGCTGGGGAATAGGCCAGAGGTGCGGGGGGGCGGGGGTGAGAGGATTCACCAGAGACAGAGTGGGGAACAGAGCAGATAGACTGAAATACGCTGCTGAGGGGAGCAGCAGGCGAGGCAGGAGAATCTGCTTCACCATGTTGGTTGCCCTCTGGCCTGCCGGGGATCGAACTCTGCTGCAGAGGCTGCGGATTGCTTCATAGTGCGGTGCTTAACCCCTTTCGCCACCAGAGAGGTCCTGCTAAAACTAATTTTAACCCTAAAATCAATATTTAATTCCTGCAATGATTGTGGAGTCATTTGCAGACATGTGAGAGCAGCAAAAATAATTTGGGTCCCAGATGGGCATGTCCCTAGTAGGGACTGAACAAGACCACATTCTGCATTCTTGTTTCAGCTTTTGTATACTGTACACAACTATGCTTTTTGTAGGCCAAGTTGTGCCACATTTTTTGCAATTTAGTGCTTTTTGTTGGTGATTGCGTGTTTTAAAATGACCCACAATCGTTGTGCTGAGGTGCAGTACAGGTTACAAAGAGTGAGAAGGCTATGATGTGGCTTGTGGAGAATACATGTTAGATAAGCTCGTTCAGGAATGTATTCTAGTAAGTTTGGTGTTAATGAATGGATCAAGTAAAGTGCTCAATAGACAGCAGGAACTCAATTAGAGATTGCAATTATTATTAGTTAACAGGCATAGCTGGAACTTACCTATTGATGTTGAAGTATGTTTCTGTATTTTGATTATCTTCTGGAGAAGAAACCAGATATTTGTATTTTAATTCTGGAAATTCTGAAATGCCACAGACTGAGAACGTTGTCATTTTGTGAGCTCTCCATGAAACTGGGCTGTACCCTCTTGTGAAGATACTAGTTGCTAGGAGGTCCTGCGATGCTGTGGTGGATGAGGGGGAACTTCCCACATGTCCATGTGCATGGCTGGCCATAGTAAAGACTTTTGCTTATGTTTATCTTAAATTTGTATATTAAAACTATTGTAGCATGTTAGAAGCATGTGATTATCATTTCCCCTTTGTTCCCCAGCTCTTGGATTACTATGACAACCCTGTGTCCATTTGTCCCAAAGTATAATCCCTCAGGACTCTAGTAGTTAACATATTAAGCCAGTTCAGCAGAGTCACTGAATCTAAAAATTCTAAAAATTGGCTCTGAGAATTTAATGCCTTTATCAAAGGCACTGAATGTTACATAAGTCAAGCTTATGAGTGATGGTTTGTGGCCTTATTTACAAACTACCAGCATAACCACCATACTCCCAAAGCTTTCATCTCCTTTATCTAGACAGAAATAAATTAAGATTGCTGCAGTGGCAAGCGGAATGGGAAGGAAGGGATGGATCCATAACCTATTTAGAGGGTACAATTGACAGGAATTGAGAGAGGGAGAGAGAGTATTGAGGTTAACATTTAAATTTCAAGATGGACACATTGGATTTAGTAGCTGCAAAATATGGTAATATTAGACTACATCCTTGTGTCTCTACCTGCTTTACCCAAATCTGTAGTATGTATTGCCCCTGAAAAACCCTAGGTAGTGCATGTGGGGAAAAAAACCAAAACAAAACAATGAAAAACAGATCCCAAGCCGTTTTTATAGATGATTATTCTCGTCCTAGCTACTCTGTCTGGTTGCATGTGGTAGTTTTGAAGATGAAGAACTGTCATATACTTCAAGGAATCAGGCAGATGAAATATTTCAGTTTCATTTGTGTGGCCCCAATAGTTAGGACAATCTTAAAACATCAAATACATAAACAAGATAACTGTTTTTCAGTTAGTTAATAGCTCTGTTGTACCATAAGGAAAACATTACTACTAGGTATTGGAAAGCCTTACCATGTTAGAGAGGGTGCACATTTTCAAATTTGTTTCTTTGGAAAAATGTTGAAGGTCAATTTATGAATGCTGTGCCTTTATATTCACCCCACTTTCAACTAATCAATAAAATTGCCCTTGAACTTTTATTTTCTCTTGGCTATCTTGACAAAACAAAGCATGTAACTTTCAGAAACAAGCACAGGCATGAAATCTAGAGATCTAGCAAATATTTTTAGAAACTGGTAGAAAGTATCTTTTCTAAGAGTATGTAAATAATGACATACTCTGCCAATGTCTGCCCTTTATACTTTTAACTCATTTGTTCCCTACAGTAAGTTACCTGGAAGGTCAGGATATATGAGAATCTATTTATTGGATGCATCCACAAAGTTGCTACATGCCTCCTTTTGTCCCTAACAAATGCTAATGGTATTGACATTCACTTGGTTTGACTTTCCTTTTCTTAGTGTTATCTTCTTCCTTAGGCAATTTGCTGTATCATCTCATTATATTCATGGCTTGAAAGAGGAACCTAGTTCTAAAGCTTGAAGTGCTTTATTGATCCCTAAAGATGAGATAATTTACTATTCCACATAATTCAGGCCTCCAAAGAACAAAACTCTCAACTACGCTTTTTCATAGAAACTCTCGGAAATAGAAGTTTCAGAATTCTGGCTCTTGCTTGCTGTCCTCAAATTATTCAGATCAGAATGCAATTGCTAAAATTCATTTTGAATCATTCTCATCACTTTATCTCCTTAAGCATCAGTAAGATTCTTCCATTTGTGTAACACTGATAATTATTGCATGTTGTCCTAATGATTTTATCTAATCTGATTCATGCCTATCATTGTACTACTCAGTGATGGTGATTAATGTCAAGAATGGGGTGCTTTGTAATTATCAAGTATCGCCTTAAAGGTCTCACCCTGGAAATGTGAGAAAAAGCTTTTGTGGTACTCAGCTATCTGCTGAATGGAGGAATAACACAGAATGACTTAACAATAAAAAGGATCATACCTATTTTAAATCACCCTGAGTGAACAAAATTATTTTGTCTCAGGAACATGAAGATGAATATTTATAGTTGAGACAGTCAACTCTTGAATGGAATATTGAATCTCTTCATTAATTCTGTTTGGAGGTAATCATCAGAAAAGATGTAATTAATTTTTTCTTATATGATCCCAACCTTCAAATAAAAATAGTGCTTTGGATAGAGATAGCTTCTGCAACATAAAACTAACAGAATTTTTTTTTTGAATACTAGTTACCATTTTAGAAGATTTATAGATATTATTTCATTTTATTATTTCATTTTATTCTTAAAGAAGGCATTATCTATTATTTTGAGTTTATAGATAAGGAAACTGACAAGGAGAGGTTTATTGCCTTACTCAACACCATGTAGGTAAAAAGTGGCAAAACAGAGATTTGAGCTCAGGAAGTTGGATCTAATAATCTTACTGGACAACTTTACTGTATTTACTCATCTTAGGATAACATCCATTTGGAAACAAACAAGGAAGTGTTTATGAAAAAACTTGTTTGGTTTATAAGTAGGATGAAAAAGACTCTAATAGGAGAAAGTGACTGAATAAAACGAAGAGGCATTTTGAGCTAATAAAGCAGCACAGGTAGAAATAAGAAAGTGGGAAAATACAGAACATGTTCAGAAAAAAATAAAGTTTATCTCTCTGTGGTGTGTGTGTGTGTGTGTGTGAGAGAGAGAGAGAGAGAGAGTGTGTGTGTGAATGAGAGAGAGAGAAGATATGAATTTTATGAAGCATAACACTAAAACATATTCCATATAGAAATGAAATTAGAGCCAAAACAATTAGAGAACCGCATCATCATCAGCTTGGAACTAGTGGGCAATAGAATCTATTTTAGGATGACATGAGTTAATGGCTTTTTTTCTTCATTGAAATATGTCACAAGAACTTCGGTATATATTTCTGTTAAAGTTCTTGTATTGGTCATCTTGAACCACTAAACATTTGGTCTCTTGCATATTGTTCTGATTGAATAACCTAAGCCCTCTGAAGTACAACATTTTTCCTGTCTGGGAGAGGATACTTAAAAGAGTAAGTCCAGTGCTTTTCTCTACTCATACTAACAGATGTTAGAAAGTAACTTGGGCTGGGAGAAAGAACCCATAACCAGCTGTTTCATAGCTTGTAATTACAACCTTAATAAATGAATCATTTCCTTTGGCTGGCACTAGTTGGGGTCTGAGCATAGCATTTTGTGGGTTAGTAGTTCTGGAAGCATTTCCCTGCCTGCTGATGCTTTAACATGAAGGTTTAACAAATCAGGCGTATAACAAAAATGTTCCTGACTATATATAAATGCAAGTTTAGTGGTTGGTGGTGAGCTCATGAGAAAGAAGTCATCAGGTCTTGGCAATATAATTGGTTTGACTTAGGTTGTAGCTTAAAATATAAAAA